TAACGACCTCACTCTCGGTTATTAAGTAGTTAATATTCACCGGTCCATTTCCTCTTTGTCTTTTCTCTATGATAGGTTAATGGTAAGGAGAAGCTCTGGAGCTGGTTAAATGACGCTTTAATCCCAGGTGTGTTCGCGGGCAGATGGTACAATGGCCAACAAGAGAATCAAACAGTGTACATTGGAAACAAGCACTCAGTCCTTGTTGGGATGGCTCGAGCCCGGCAGCTAAGAGTTAAACCGAGTAAGTTATGGTCTCAGAATTCAGTGTTTAGACCAATCGCCTGCGAGTGAAAATACTCGATGGATTATAATTCGGGATATTTATCACGTGGCGGACTTGTCCAGTGCGCTGACATAGCTACAGGAGTTATTTTGACACCTGCCAAGGGCGGCATCACTGTTACAAAGTCGTTTTGGTTTCGATCGCATTTCCGACCACGAAACAAGGAAGAAAAGTGGATAATATTGGTGCGGAAAATAGGAAAAAAAACACCGCCGGTAACCATGGAATTAAGAATAAAATAGCTCAAACCGAATATAATCTAGAAAAATAAATGAACGGCATATGTTTTAGGAAAGAATGAAATTGCAATTCAGCGTTTAGGCTAAATTGATTTCACTCGCGACCGAATGTAAGTCATGATCGTATTTTCTTTACAGCAATATATTGCGTTAACTAAAATTGTCCAAAGAAAATATGCTTGTTCCTTCAACGTGTTGTTGGACCCTTGAAGTGTGAGAAAAACAGGTTATGAGCTATATCTACTTGGAAATTTGTCAAAGTAGGTTAATTTTGATTACAGAATTAGCTAGTATGTTCTGATGAACCACTTTGCAGTAGAACAGAGCCTTCTTTAAGGCATGAACAGCTATTTTCTAATAATGGTTTTGTAAACATTTCAGCATCCTGTAAAGTTGACTATATGACGAGAATGTTTTCGGTGTGCTACGACGGATACGGGCTAGAAAATGAAGATAGAACCCCTTATAGTAAACCAACCTGGAAGCCCACCGACAACTCCTCGAGTCACGAGGAGCTACTCCGACTTTGCCCGAAGCCCTGGCGATATCAGAATCCGGGGGAGAGTGAAACTGTGCCCAAGTGGGGACAATTCTCATTTTACCCTGGAGGAGGATTCGTGGCTGACTTAGGATACGAGAACGCAACAGGTTTTAGCATTATTAAGAATTTAAAAACTA